ACAATTTTGGTGTTGTTTACTGCTTTGGGATTACTGCGATATTTCAAGATAGGTTGACTTGAATTAGTTGATTAATCACCTAGACATAATTAACTTCTGACTTGTTGCATGTTAAATAAATTTTAATTTCGTATTTATACCTAATCATCCCCCTCTAGGTGTAGCAGGTTGCGTTTCTCACGTCTTACTACAGTAACCTTTAAGCCTGTGATTGGTGTTTTAGGGTTTGAACTTTTAGGTTATGTTTTAGGAAATCCAAAGGATCAGTGAATAAAACTTGAGTCTGGGTTTGGTTTGATGTATTATACTCTCTCTCGAAGGCACTTTAGTGCACATAGTGGAAGGTTGGTAGTTAAGCCCAGAGACGGACCTAACACCCAGTGAGGGGACACGGCCACCCATACTGGATTCACCGGAGCCTTTAATTCCACCGAGCGTCGTCAGGTGGTTGACTGTTGTAGAGAGAACAGAGAAGGACAGAGAAGATGAGGAGGAAGGGAGAAGACATATACTGTTCAGCTGGGCCTTTTTTTTTTAGTTTTGGCCCATTTGTTTTGGACTGAGAGAGTTGGACATTTTTTAAAAATGAGGCCCAATTAAATGAAATAATTTTCTTCATCATCATCACATTAACCAGATGCTCCGATGGTCCGGCCTTTTATCTATTTTATGTTTCAGTGCATTTTTTATTTTTTTTTATTTTTTTGTGTGAATACATTTATGAATTTAAAGAAAACAACAAGAATTAAGAAGATTAGCATTTCATTTTTCACGGCATGGGACTGTGTTCACTAATTCATTACTAAAGTTAGATGTCAATAGTTGAAACATTTAGATTCCTCCTCTATGGTGACGTACTGAATCCATTCCGATGCTTGGCCGGGTTATACATATTCTGCGAAGGAGTGAGCTTTTAGAAGAGAGAGACGAGCAAGGAAATGGGGTTCCCATCTCTTGTTAGATACCAATATATGTTAGAGTGACAAAGTTCAATTGAGGTTGATAAATGACCTGCCTTCATGGTTTGCTCTTGATTATATAGAGAGTTAATAACTTCTAAAAAAAAAAAAGTTGATTTACTATCATATTAACTTTTCCTTTTTTCTTGTTTTAATTTAATTAACACTAGTTACTTAATGGTTTCCTGAATCATTCTTGACAAGTCCACTAACTATTAAATTGTTAATTCATTATGCTAAAGCTTGTAATAAATGAATGAATCGTACAATTGATGGCAAATTTCACTGAAGTTTCTATAGGGGATGTGCCATGGTATACTGCTCAGTATTAGTTCCTAGAGAGGATGTTGTGAACTTATTATGTTTCTCAATATAACAAAATGAACATATGTTGAACTGTGTTGTTCATTTTTTAGTTTTTGTGGTACACGAATCAGCAAATATTTCCATTTTGAAACTAGTTGAATGACAATTTGGTGGTTTACATGGAGAAAATGATTTTGACAAAAATTGAGAATGAGGCAATACTGCAACGTAATGTTTTCAAAACATAAGACCCCGTAGAATGCAGTTGTCTAAGATCACGTTACAGAATAGGTTGTATCGCGTATTTCGTTAGTATTTTGGGTTATATTGAATTATGATTTCATATATATATATATATATATACACTTTGAAGTGTTTTATTGTTATTTTTTTCCATGGAAAATATTTTTTCAACCTTTTAAAATATGCCTAATTTTTCTTTTTTTGAGGAAAACATTTTTTTTGGAGTAGGTTTTTGTTTTCCTTAAAAAAAAAAGAAAATATTTTCTATTCTATAATATATTTTTCATGTCAATCAAACATACTTACTCTTAAAATAAATTCGAATATCAGTTGACACCTATAACTGTTGAGGTAGTTTCTCAAAATTTCAACCCAACCTGAGGCCAAAACTGCCCCAATATCAAGCACACAGCAATAACTGCTTCCAACTGATATAATGTGTCTCCCTTTTGCCTGATTTTACCACTGAATTTGAGTATTGAAACCAGATGGATGACAAGATCGCTATGCTTTTGAACACATGCCCACATCAATCCATCAATCAATTATGCCTTGTGCTTCCATAAAGTAAATTATGCATCTTACCTCCATCACTTGCTCATCACAAATTCCCACCTGCGGTCTTGCTTTGTTCCTTGGATCTGTTCACCGCTCCGCAAATTACGCACGCCTTCGACCACACACACACACACACGCACATATATATATATCGCACATACATATTTAACATGGGTGTTTTGAACAACGATTTGTTTAATCAATACAAACTGTGAACCAGTTTCATTCTTTACAAAAGGGGACTTCTCGTAATGGTTTATATTTTCTTGCAGGTTTCATCTTATAAAAGATGGTCTATACGTGTGATCCTTGAGACTATTGACTCCATAGTCTGTCGCAATCTATTTTTCTCATTAAAATGTATTGTTGCAAGTCAAAAGTCAACGTTCACATTACTAGAAATGGTCATCACTATTTTCATCGCCCTTGTCATACTAAACAAGATTGACAAGGATGGTAACAGCTTGACGAGTGCACTGTACTTGAACTTGTTTTTCTTTTATTTTTTGACAAGTCCTATCCGACTTGCTATTTTGCATGGTTAACACACTACAAGGAAATCTGCTTTTAACAAAGATAATTTTCGTCATGAAAGGTCATGATTTTGTTGTTGGTAATTATACTCAATGATAAAACACTATCCATTAGTAGGTTCTCATAACATGCCTGCCTTAGAAAGTGCTTAACAACAAAATATATATTTGCCATTCGATAACAAATATTTTATTTCTGATATTCATTAAATTTTGTTGTTAATTTGCATTTGAACAACCAAAATGTGGATGTTGATGTTTTTCAAACCTCTACTTGTTAAAAATGTCACTCACAACATTTTTTTTTTTTTTTAATATAATCATTGTTAAATATATATTATCAGCGACAAAAAATCCTGTCATCCCTTCAAATATATATAGTTCAAATGCTGGTTGGTGGTTCAGGAGCTATAACGCAGTTTTCAAGAGCGGTGGGCAAAAACACCTGAGAAAAAGGAATCCCTTCAGGCAAGCAGGTTTTGGCAATTTTGTTGACAACTTGGCAGCACGAAGTGCGTAGAGGAAGTCCAAACACTGCTTTAAAAATGTCCACTGTGCAAGCTTCGAGACTTGTTAGAGATTCCAGGCACGGTAAAAACCCTTCCACCTTTAATACTTCATCTGATAGTGCACCAAAAGCAGAAAGCTGTGGATGTGGTGCGGCCGCAACATGGCTTGACATCGACACAGCAGATGTTGCTATGACCAGAAACAACATCAAGACTCCCTTTGCTGTTGCTACTTTAAATGCCATAATTTTATGAAAATTTAATTTCTTAAGAGATGTATACAAAGTTGATGTGGGGAAATGCTTCTAAACTTGGGCTATTTTTATATGAGATTATAATAATTAATCGTGTTTACTCTCTACTTTAATATTATCAAGTACGTTTCTGTAGGCTAAACTTCAATTCTCTAATGTTTTCTTGAATTTTCATTTATTGGTATCATTTAACTCAAGATATTCAATAGCCATTAATTGTTCTTGATTTTTAAAATTATCGTTTCAAAAATATATTTATTCATGTTGCAAGTCATGAGTTATATTCATTTTCGATTTCTCAGCGACAATAACATAACCAAAAATAAATAAAATTGACGAGCTGTATTTAGTTAATTCCAAGCTAACAGTTCTAAGAATTAAATTGATTCTGCTTGACTAAAAAAAGTTTACCAGTTGCTTCTTAATTATTTGGTAAGAATTGCTGTAAGCTAATTAATCCCAAACAATTAATACTACAAGGCTGTTGCTTGTGGTATTTAATTTGTTACAATTTGAGCTACGGCAAGACCAAAGATGGAAATAGTCACAGGAGTCCAGCTAGCAATGGTCCACCTCAACTCAATAAATTTGTAGTAACTCTACATGCATAAAATGACACTAAAAATAAGTTCCTGAATAAACTACCCATCGGATGCAAGTTTCAAAGACGCACCATGCCTATTGTCATGGGGTTGTCCCGATCACAACCCATGATTGCGCCAAGTTTTCCCATCCTCGACCAGTCAACCAAGGACAGATTCAGGATTTTCGATAGGGGGACTGAAACTTAGAAAGCTGAACGAATTATGTTTTTCTGAAAGCGACGAGCTTATTTTTTCCTTCTATCCTTGGATACTCTTTAAACTTTAGTTGATAAAGTCCAACTTTTAAATATGTGATTCTAATCTCATCTCTAAAATTGATACGATGTTCAAAAGAAATTTTTCTCTTTCCCGAATCTCGTTCAATACTAGTACACAGGGACGGACCCAGCATTGAAGTTCAGCCCGGGCGGACGTTGACCGGTTAACGTCGATAATCAGCGATGGTAAAAGCGATGTCGAATATTAATATTTAATTAAATAATATTAAAAATTATTCAATATATATGTAAACACACTAAAACGTAAAAATTATATATATGTGAAAACGTAATTCAATACAACCCAAAATACTATAGAAATAAACAATACAACATACTCTGTAACTGTGATCTTAGACAACTGCATCCTATGGGATCTCAGGTTTTGAAAACGTTGCAATATTGCATCATTCTCAATTTTTCCAAAAATATCTTTCTCCATATAAACCACCAAATTGTCATTCAATCAATCGTCTCCCATTTTGTTGCGTACGTCACTCTTGATTAGATTTATAGTAGAGAATACTCTCCCAACATTTTTTGTCACCCCCCTCCGCTCCCCCCTCTTCTCCCTCCACGTTGAAATCCTAGCTCTCCCACTATGTTCAACTAAACATGACACATACATTCCAAAACTCCAAAAACACAATCCTTCCCTTTTCTGATGTACTTTAAAAATGCAACAACAAACTCGACAAATGATCACCCTCAATCCTACAGCTAAAACGTTTAATTAAAAACAGTAAGAATATTTCCCTAGCACCATGTAAAGATTAAAGTTGCAGCACCAATACATAGGTACCAAGTGCTTCAAATCTGGTACATTAAGGTAAAAAAAGGATCTAAATACTGATATGCAAAATATTTATTCCATTGAAACATACATATACTTACACGTACCAGAGGCAGCTGACGTGGAGAATATGACAGAAGAGAAGGAACCATAACTGGAGAAAACGGCAGAGAGCACATAAAAGGAAGAGAACAAAATCCCAATAATGACACTGGCATAAATCGTGACGAACAATGACTAGGAATTCGCCATCTCCTTGAACGGATTACTCCAACCCATAAATTTCTCTCTTTATTACTATCTATTACAGCGATTTTCTCCAACCCACAAAGAAATACCAAAGATTGGATTTTTTTCACTGTAAATCTTGTCGGATTACTCCAACACATCTTTCTCTTTCTTTATCACAATATTTTATACCATTTTTTCCCAAATCCACAAACAAAAACAAAAGATTGGAGTCCTAACTCAATGAAATTTTCGAAGTTTCATCGCAAATCTTCTCTCTTGACGATTACAGGTTTTTTTTATGGATAGAAATGGAATGGGTTTTATGGGTCAATATATTCATTTTATATGATGGGCTGGACCAATTTGGCCCAATTTTTTTTTTTTAAAAAAGGTCAATTGGATGATTGAAGAAGACGAACCAGGTAGCTACCAGCGAAGTACCCCAATCCCAAACTGCTCCGGCGAAGCCCAGTACAAGCGGTCACGCCCCCTGGCCGGGTGTTGGGTCAATTCCTGCTAGTACATAATTGCAATTCAAGAGTTGTGACCGGCAAATGTTCAATTTCTGGGGTTGAAATTAGCGGATGTTGTTCGGTAGGAATTGAAATTGGAGGATGTTGCTCATTTAATAACAAAAGATAAGGCATCAACAATCCAATAATTGAAAATGAATATACAGGCAAGGTAACACTTCAATATATTCATTCAAATAACATTTTTTATCAATAGCAAATTAGACATTAACTACGTACCTGCAAAGTGTACATTACCTAACAATAAGAGATTTACAGAACAAGAAGAGTAGAATTTGTGTTAAATAAATATTTGATCAAGTACATTACCTAAAAATTGTTAAAACTTAAAAAAAAAAAAAAAAAAAATTCTCCAAACACATACACATGTTAAAACGATTATCTATAATATATTAAATATCACATTAAGTGAGAATCAATTTTTGGACGATTCTAGTTTTATTAAAATTCAATTATTTCAATGATACTTTACTTTTTCATTTTTCAATATGTACTTAATTTATTTAATTGTTTATTTACCATCAATGTATATGTACATTTGAAATATTCGTTTAACTTGTATGCTTTCATTAATGTATGAATATTCAATTACTAATTCTCGATTAATTAATATTCACACCCATTTAATTAATATTTGTTTTCATTTATGCATTTTAGTGTTCTTAATTCTAATTATAAGTTAATTAGAATTTTGTTATGCCTTGTCTCCGAGGCTCAAGTCAAAGTGCCACGTAGCAAACAACTTGGGCAGAAAGTCAACAAAGACCCAACGGTCAAAAGTGAAGAAATCATGAGTGGCTGAAGTTCTTAAGACGAAGCGATGTCTAAACGACTGAATCCGAAGTGTTGAATAAAAGATGGAAGAAGCCGAAACTCTTCAAGAGAAAAACCTTCCTTCGAGGCCCTAATCCAACTGAAGCTCGTGAAGCTGAAGTTGTATCTTAGAAGATCCTTAGGCAATCTTTAGAAATTATTGATGTAACGTTTGAAATAAAGAATATTAGGTATGTCAGCCTATTGTATAGGGAGATTGACCCATTGTCAATGTCTTTATTAGGTGTGTCAGCCTATTGTATAGGGAGGTTGACCCATTGTCAATGTCTTTATTGTATGATAGACAGTAATGTGAAGCCTCAGTCAAGAAGATGAAGCCATGTGGTTCTCATCCAACGGATACCACGTCGGCCATGACACTATAAATAGAACCTCTTTGTAATAAAAAAAGGTTTGGATTCTGGGATTTAAGACTCTTGAACCCTTGATAATAAATAATCTTGCAAAATTCTATAGATATCTTCTAGTTTTTCCTCCATACACGTTATTTGATCTTGTTATGGGTTACTCTGGTATTCAATCGATGATTGTTGTTAGTGCAATCATCTTCATTCCATCCGTAGATACTTGAACACTTTTGTCTCACGCCGTAAAGCATCTTTTGCTTTCACATTCATACAGCTTCTCACCGACACTCTGGTCAAAATGAGCCGCTTAAGTTGGTGTAAGTGGGGTCTACATCTGTTTTGGGGTCAACAAATTTTACATTCAAGAATGCATTTCATTATTCATGTCTGTATATGATAATTAACATCAAGTTTTATTTAATTGAACATTAAATAAATTATTTAATATTCATCGTCACATATTTTCTGACATTAATTCTAAATTAATTAACATTCACGCATATTCGAATATTACTTTTACATCACTTATAGAGCATTTTTATAATAACGTGAAACACACATTCAACATTCAATGGTATATGAAAAAAGGGTTAAATCTTGTGCTATAATAAATATTGTGCTAAAACTGTAAGTTTTTTTTTTTTTTAAATATTAATGAAAATGACGAAAATAAGTTGGGTGGCCATTGTGAAATGTTATGTGAAATTGGATGGTCATAGTGAAATGTTATATGAAATTAGATGATCATTGTAAAATAAAATCAAACTGGGTGGTAATAGTGATACAAGTATAAAGTTAGTCATTGGTGGATTTAACCCGTTAAAAAACTAGTGAGGGCCAACACAACCTGCTACCTCATCACCCCTCTCTTTTTTCCTCTCAATCCCCCATTCTAAATGACAAACTGAAGGATAAAAATGTGTTTCACAAAATGCAATCCTTTAAGTTGAGGTCAATTCTGCAATTATGCCTATAGCTAGTTGGAAAGGCAACTCCAATTGGCAGTCGAGATGATACCCCATGTTGTGCTTCTTCATATGGTTTGTGAGCCATTTGATTTAATCAATGGCTGTGATCTTTTGATGGTTATTATATGCCTTGGCGGAGTGTTTGGATTCGTTTGGTCGGTTGGTTTTTTTCTCTTAGCTTCTGGAGTTTTTGTTTTTCTCTCAAGCGGAGTCTCTTCTTCTTCTCCTTCATTTGTGTTTTAATTCTTGAAAGATCTGTAAAATCCTTATGAAATCATCTTGCTACAGTAACCTTTAAGTCTGTGATACTGGCTCTATTGTTGGGTTCTGTACTGTGTTTTTGGTGTGTTAGGGTTTGAACATATTGGTTATGTTTTAGGAAATCCA